TAGGTCGGCGGCGAAAAGGGCGGCGGCGAATACATAGGCACTGGCTGGAACGCAGGCTGTCGAGGTCGAGCAACGGCCTTGGCGTACGTGAGGTGCGGCGACTGCCGGCAGTTCACGGGCGGGAGGAAGAACTTGTGCGACCTGGTCGTGAATGAAGTCGCAGAGTGTAGACGGCAATCTGCGTGGTTAATCGAGTACGCAGGACATCAAAGAGAGCTGACGAGCGACCTCAGCACGGATGAACTCTTGGATCTTGGAGAGAAGAGGGGCTTGGTCTTCTCCTATGCCAAGGGTGGCCAGGCTGGACAAAGAGTCGTCGAGCGCCGAGGGACGTCGGGTGGAAAGACGTTGCCTGCGTAACTCGTCAAAACTCTGGCATAACTCGGTCAGTTCTAGGACAGTGCGAGGACTCTTAGAAAGTAACATTTGGAAAGCGTCGTCCTCAATGCCCTTCATGATGTGTTTGATCTTAAGCTCTTCGGACATCGACTCGTTGACTCGCTTGCAAAGGTCCAGAACGTCCTCAATATAGCTTGTGAAATTCTCACCAAGCTGCTGGGACCGAGTATGCAAGCGTTGTTCGGCACGGCGTTTGCGTACCTCCGGCCGTCCGAAAACTTGTGTGAGGCTCGTTTTGAAGACTGACCATGTAGGGAGTTCCGCTTCGTGGTTTATAAACCACAGCTTGGCCACGTCCGACAGGTAGAAGGAGACGTAGGCCAACTTGGCGGCGTCATCCCATTTGTTGTGAGTACTCACTCGTTCGTACATTGAAATCCAGTCGTCAACGTCCTTGTCTTCTGTGCCTGAGAAAACAGGGGGATCTCGCAGACGCAGAGAACCGGCGCAGAGAACAGTACGTGGTGCCTGTGGAGGAGTTGGAGCGGCGCTTGCGTCGGTAGGCATAATGGATGGTAGAATGCGATTTCGAAGCTCCAGGGTGATCGAAACCCAGCAGACTCCACCACTTGTAACGGGATTTATTTGCAGAGCAGAACGCAGAAGGCGAAGCAGTCAGCAGCGTCCGGCCAAGCGCAGCAAGCACGAGCTTATGCTGATGGCGATGCCCCTGAGGCCCCTCTTCTCCACTACAATATATATATATATATGGGATATGGCACAACGGGAGCGTTGTCAACAAGGATAAATATATTTATTTTCCCAACAGTTTCGGGAGGGGTCCTTCCTTCCTCAGGGGATGAGTTATACTGACATGAACTTCCAAACTTCATTGCTGCCACGTCCCTCTCGCCTCGAAATATATCAGAATTCATCAATTCCTTAATAAAAAACATCCCCCCAAATTTTCCTTATTACCTAAAGGACACAAACCACTTCATCTGCGAAACTTCAAGTCTCGACATCCCAGGCGGCAGTTTTCTGGTGACCATGGACGTCTGCTCACTGTACACCAACATACCCCACCATGACGGAATGGCGGCTATTGTTTCTGAATATGTAAAATCTGACTCATCAACTAGTGTAAGTGGCGAGGTACTGTTTACACTTCTTGAACTTGTACTAAATTATAACCATTTTGAGTTCAATGGCAAGCATTTCCTTCAGGTCAGTGGCACTGCAATGGGCACGAAAATGGCCCCAAACTTCGCGAGCACCTTTATGGCTTCACTTGAAATCCCATTCATTGAGGGACGCACCTTGAAACCTTTCTACTACATAAGATACCTAGAGGATATTTTTATGATATGGAATCATGATGAGGGAAGTCTTTTCCGCTTGATAGAGGATCTTAACAAGTGCCACTTGTCAATTAAATTCACGCACAAAATTTCCAAAACTAGCATTAACTTTTTGGACGCCACTGTCACGGTCAAAAACGACCGCTTGTCAACAAACCTTTACAAAAAGCCTACAGACCGTCAAATGCACCTACATTTCAACAGCAGCCACCCAAAGCATTGCGAAACGGGTATTCCATATTCTAGGGCCTACCGGTACCGAAGAATATGCACCGATATGCGGGAATTCGACAAACACGCGGAACACTTAAAGCATTTTTTATTGAAACAAAATTATCCGGAAGACATTATTGACGATGCCATACTACGTGCTCGCAACGTGAACAGGAATGATATAATTAAGGGACCAAACAGAGTATCTAAAAAGACTTCCTCAACAAACCTTGTACTAACTTACTCCTCATCAGCGCCACGAATCATCAACACACTTTCCCGCCATTTCAACATAATCAAGCAAAGCAAACGACTAACTTCTATTTTCACGCACCTCACGTGGTGTACCGCAGGGATAAAAATCTGAAGGACATTCTTGTCAGAGCAAAAACAAACAATCCCAAAATTCAATCAGGGTGCCATCCCTGCGGAAAAGCTCAATGCAAGGTATGCCCACAGATGGTCACAACACGTGAATCCAAAGCGAACTTCTCGGATTTCAAATTCTGCACAACTGAAAGCCTTAATTGTAACTCCAGTAACGTAATATACATGCTACATTGCAACATCTGCGGACAAGAATATACCGGCCAAACAGACACGCCATTTCGGCTGCGGTTCAATAATCACCGGTACCACGCCACTTCACTGCCGAAGCTACCTTTATCTAGACATCTGCCCCTGCCAAACCACAGTTTTGAAAATATCAGCGTAACTCTTTTGCAGTTCGGTTTCTCAAACAGGCGCGAGCGCGAACAGAGTGAGGCATATTTTATTTTCAAATTTCGAACATTAGTAGCCGGCATCAACAAGGACCCCGGAAAACTCTCCTGCCTCCGAGAAGTAGGCCAGGAGGAAATTGGTGACAAATATTGATAGCTGGAGACCATGCTTGTTTTTTCTGACTGACTCGTACGTGTACACTGTCCTTTCTTGTTTTTTTTCCCTTTTTTTCTTTTTTTCACATGCACATACAAAGTGTTTATGTTCGCCTACCACTTGATGACCATTGAAAGGAAACGGACGAAGATTAAAGGTAAAGAGCCGACCACCCATTAAGGGGAAACCCTTTCTTTAGGCACGCCGTCAGGGACCCCTCCCGCCACCGCCACCGTGGCGACAATCTTGGGTGGCCCGACACACACATCGAGAACTGAACAGCACGTGATAAGAACCGGATGTGGACGTGATAAGAACTGGATGTGGACGTACACGGACAGTTGGTTTCGTTCTCAGTGTTGACAATGGTTTTACCTCTTTTTTACTTTCTTTCTTTTCTTCCTTTTTCTTTTTTTCTTCCCCTTTCTTTTTTTTTCTTTCTTTCCTTTTTTTTATAGTTCCCTCTCACTCTCGCAAACATCTTTCAAGGCGAGAGGGACGTGGCAGCAACGAAGTTTGGAATTTCATGTCAGTATAACTCATCCACTGATGAAGGGAGGACCCCTTTCGAAACTGTAGGGAAATAAATATATTTATCCTTGTTGACAACGCTGCCGTTGTGCCATCCATACCTTCACGAAGACTAACTGGCCCATTGAATTATTACTCCCACTATATATATATATATATATATATATATATATATATATATATATATATATATATATATATATATATATATTTATTTATTTATTTATTTATAAAGGCACAAAGAAAACCAAATCAGAAGAAAAGAATTACAAGGCACCATACCGGAGCTTCGAGCCAGCGACCCCTCGCTCCACAGTCCGCTGCGTTAACCAACAAGGCTGTGCCGCTAATGCTATCCATCTCACTAACGGCCAGCTACATATATATATCATTTACCACTGGCTTACTGTCAATCAATTTCTACCTCATACCTTTGAAAAATTAAAATTTTTCTTTATATCAACCACCGGTTTTATGGCCAATCCCCTGTGGTGGGTGGAAACCACATATCAAGGAACAAGCAAGCAAGGAAGCGAGCTTCCTCCTCAATCCAGCTGCTTTCGGCGTTGACGTCGACAATGCAATGTTTGGGACAATATGAGGTAGGCGCTTTGAAGAGCATTGAAACTGCACTTTTCACTACTGTCCCCGGTATCGACTGAAGCCATGAAACAAAATGCCCGACAAACGCCCCTGAAAATGCTGTATGAAAATCGACCTTTCTGATGCCATCGTGTGTTGTACAAACACCTGTGGAACAGCTCCAATGGAATGCAGCTCCAACGGAATGCTAGTCGCGCTGAACCAAGGCGGGCTCGTATAAATGCCCAGACACGGGAAGAACGTGCTGCTGTGCGTGTGAGACGTTGCAGCTTAACACACATTCGACCATGTTCACTACATTTTGTGTAGTTCTTAAACATCCTAGCTTCACTTCGTGTAACAATACGATGAGGTGCTATGGCATTCATTGCTTCGGCCTTGTGCCAAAACTGCAACTTTTTGAGAGTCCCCTAGCTCTAACAAAATGCTAATCATTGCAAAACTCAAGCAAATATGTGCCATTATTCATGTACAACTTTTAGCATACTATTTTTATAGTAGTTCATCGGTAAATTTTTACAGAACATTATAGTTATACGGACATCGAAGTAAATAAAATATTCTCAACTAAAAAATGCAGAGTACTGATAAGGTACGTTAGAGGACACACTACACAAAACATGTTTTGGGATTACAATAGCTTGCACCAGAGCAGACCCTGGTCACATCTTCCCGAATTTTTCAGACAAACACAGGCATGCATGGCAAGGGCCAGAACAGCAGGAGTGATGGGAGGCTGCTCTGTACAGCTCGCAACCAGACTACAGCATTGCATTGTAAAATGGGCCAGAAGGGCTCGCTGAAGCACAACAAAATCCGGCAATTTAAATTCTGCATCCTCTTCCCCCTCCCTCCTTCCCTCACGAGATTCTCTCATTAATAAAGCTGTTTACCTACCCGCCTGCCTTAAACAAGGTTGATACAACATCCAAACACTCAAAATATGTTAAAATGAAAACAATCCCAATCCAGAAGTGGAAGATCTTAATGAGCTCCCAGTTACAAGTGACAAAACTTTTCACAGAAATGCATGTTCACCAAACACACCATGAAAAAGGAGCTGCTAAAACTTACCAATCCATTCATGTTCCACGTAGCCACAAATACATTGACCTTTCTATCTGGGAAGTAACGGTTTAGTTCTTCTTCACCTAGCAGTGACCCCTTGCCACTGACATTTCCAACCAGGTAGCTCCTAAAGATGCATCAAAATGGCAAATTTCAGGCAGGAAGCAGTTTGTATTATTCACTGCTGCTTGAATCATGTTTCATGCTAAAACTTTCACCATTCGTAATTCGTTATGAAAGTCACTTAAATAAATATACATTTTTACATTTACACTTTTTACATTACACATTTACATATTTACACTGTTACAAAATGCTACAATGTTACAAAATATTTACACTATTACAAAATGGCAATAGCCTCCTAATGCCTTAAAATTTAATGTCATTTGCGCAGCACGACAAGGGCAATTCAAACAAGGGCCTTAATGCAATTCATCCGCTAATGCCTTCACTAGAACATATCCGACTGAGAAATGTGTTCGGTCGACTCCAAGACATGCACACTGTAGCATCAATAAACCATTTAAAACAGCATCTCCCATGTTAAATTTACCATACAACTTTAACCAAATCACCTCATTTCCAAAAGAAAGGCAGGAAGCGAAGACAGCAGCTTGGGATGAGCAATTCGTAAACAGGGGGTCAAAGCTGGAGAGGACGTTTTATCAAGTAGACTTGTCTGTGTTACAGCCATGAAAAAGTGAAGTCCACGCGACGAAACGTCTGCTCCAGCACTGGCCCCCTGTTTACAAATTTCTAATGTTATTTCCAAGTAGCTCTGTAATGAAATTCACCTCACAAGTGCAACAACTTCGACATGACAGGTGTTATGTGGGATTCCAGGCTTTCAACTTGCAGTGGCCAGGTTGCTATGATTTGTTACAATGTATAAAAGAGAAAAACAAAACTCAAGCTAATGGCCCCACTGCATCTTTTCTTTTACAATTCACTATCCCTGAATGCACGTAGGAGTTGTTAAAATGCATGTTTATCCGAAATTCTTCATTTCAGAATTCACCGTTATTGACAACATCTGGTCAAATTCCCTTAAATTTAGACGTGTGGTAGCTCCACCGCAAAAAAAATTAATTAAGGAACCTAAAGCTTTAACTACTGAACGCCAATTATGGAGCCCATGAGGTGCAGGTATAATACAAATCTTTAAAATGTCAAAGTAAGAAAGGTGCAAGACCGAAGACAGCTTTACTGTCATCAAAATATTTGAAAACATTTGAAAACATGTACTAGTATGTCATACATTATAAGAAATGTAGTCAACTTCGTAGAGACGCCTACTGGCCATAGTTCTCACGCTGGGTCTGATGGTGGTAGGATCAATTATATACCTCAAATGAAGTGATGACAGAGTGCTGGCAGCATTCAGACTAATTGATTGATATGTGGGGTTTAACGTCCCATAACCACAATATGATTACGGAAGACACCGTAGTGGAGGGCTCCGGAAATCTCAACCTCCTGGGGTTCTTTACCGTGCACCCAAATCTGAGCACACGGGCCTACAGCATTTCTGCCTCCATCAGAAATGTAGCCGCCGCAGCCGGGATTCGATCCCGCGACCTGCGGGTCAGCAGCCTAGTACCTTAGCCACTAGACCACCGTGGCGGCGCAGCATTCAGACTAAAGTGTGCCAAAGGTACTACACGCAGAACACCGAACATAGTAGTTGCCATTATGTAGTAGCTCACAAAAGTGATTGGCTTTAGCTATTGTGTGTAGCATTGCAACCTAAAAACATGCATGAGAAAATCTATATTTCACTGAAAATAAATCGTGCAGTTTGTGCGAAACAGCTTTTTTTTTCTTTTTCTTGTGACCAGTGCCAAAAGTGAGAAAGGGAGATGTTGGGTACAGCCAGTGTATGAAGACCACTTATGCAAGACACTGTTTATGCCCGTGACCAATTGTAATGATGATGATTCACATGGTTTAATGGCATGTAGGCCTCGAGTAAGAGTTCCATATAGTCAACTGTAATCCACCACCCAAGCAAAACAGTGTTGTTCTTGCCAATCAACTTCCATTTAAAACAAATTGAAAGTGTCAACCACGACATGCACACCAGTAGGCTTGTTTTTCCTTTGAAAAAGAAAACACAAGTTGTGTGCATTAAATTTCGTTTCCAGTCTAGAAAAAAAGAAAAGAAATTATTTTACTCCCAAACAAAACACTACAAAGAAAAATAATTCTTAATGTGACACCCATACAGAACAGCTGCTACTGCTGGAAAGTACAATATTTGAACTAGAGACATTGTGTGTAACAACCTGTTCTGCATGGCAATCTACTAAGCCCCACTATCAATTAAGTTTTGAAGACAACCGTTTGTATACAGTACCGGAAGACACTATGACTCGAATAATGTTTCTAACACTTACATTCTTTGTTATCATTCAACAGTTGCAATCACTCTGTGAAACCTGGCCACTAGACACATAGAATTTGGCACATGAAATAAATAAATTCAGCATGAAGTGAAGAACCCTGCCTCCCCCCTCTTTTTTTCGCATGCTAATGTGGTGTAGACCACGAACCTCAGGCGAGCATCCTTAGTTGAAATCTTGGGAAGAATACTTGGTTGGTCTGGAGGAAAGTCAACACTGTCTTGAAATTCTGACATGCCTGAAACTGTCCAAGAATGGTGCACCTCGGTAACACAGCGTGTTGAACCTGATGGGGGCTCCGTTTTTGCTAAGGGAGAGAGCTGATGAGCTTTCTTGGCATAACTACCATTGGTTCCATCACTGAGGGACTTGAGGCTGCCTGTACTCACACAACTGGTCTGACGTAGCAGTTGCTCTGTTGCAAAACTCAGAGGTCGATTCAAGCTGGTGGACGATGGGCACTTGACAAGACTAGAAAGACGAACCGATTCCACCCTAGGCGTCAACGATGGAGTCTGAGAGTCAGAAAGGCAGTTCTTTTCTGCAACACATCTGGGTGCCAGCTCAAAGGCTTCGTCATCAGATGACGAACTTGCGCTGCCATGTGCTAGTGAGGCTGCAACAGAGTTGTTGTGTACTAGACGGAGCTCTTCGAGAGGCGTTTTTATAACAGGAAGGCTTTGACTTTTTTTTGTACCGCCTTTAATTCTTTCCTTCCGGGAGGTAAGCCGGGAGGGCCGCTTGGGAGGGTCATCTTTACCGGCCGGTTGGTATCGATCCATTCTGGTATACAGTATTTACTTCAATCACATCGCTGGAAAAGAAAGAACAGTAAACGAGAAGGCATGATCTTCACTATGCCGTACGTACCCCCGGACCCCAAATTTTAAAGCAAGACACTTCTGTGCAACAGCTAAACACGGTCTCTGCACCACACGGCAGCCGTGAGTCGACACATTCATGCAGTATAGATGGCCACTTGCAAACCTAATAATTCCGTTTTAAGCAGGTACACTCGATGGGGAATGTTCGCAGATCGTTCAAGCACTCAAAACTACACAGCGTAATATTATTACGTTAAAGTGGCCTGCGGTGAAAACGAAACGTACCAATCAACTGTCAAAGGCACGACAGCAGTAGCAGCACCGTCAAAAGCCCAAATAGCAGACTGGTATATTAAGTACTAACGCTGTCAGGGCGTGCGTTAGCAGTAAACAATCCACTACTGGACGCGCCAAAACACGGGAAATATTGTGGCATAGAGCTGCGAAACGAAAATCGCTAGCAGATACCACGGACGACAGAAAAATGACTCACGTGAACAGGCAAAACAAACGTGATGCGCCTAGCGATTACGCTAATTGCGCCCTACCACAGTTGCAATCGACAGCAATATTGTGCCATGTTGTACTGTCTACTTTAAATCAAAATACTGTTGTGTACACGTTCAGTTTATTAGCATCACTGTTTTAAAACTTGTGTTGTTATTGTATTAGAACTTAGCAATGCGCGCGGGAAGTTTGAGCGTGTTTCGAGTGGAAAAGATTGGAAAGAGCACATACATGTTCCCATTGCATCCATTTCACGCTTAAAATAATTTCTATACGTACTGCTACAAATAAGAAAACCATGCTATCTAGTTCAGTCGCCAACATTATTCACATATTCATAAACCTAAATTGTTTAGCTTAGGGTCGCCGTAGATATTGGAAAATGGTTCTTTATTGTGAAGGTTTTTCTTGTTTTTTTTTTTTTTGCGCCACATGCAAAACCACACCCACCACTGATATATAGCGAAGTGACTGACGCTATAAATTGGCTTCGTAACTTCCAATTTCTCCCGGGTAAAATTGAGGTAATGGGTCAATGGTCATGTTTATTCTAAACAGTGCTGTTTTCAAATGTACCAACTGATTAGAAGGAAGAAAAATGTAATGTTTGCATCATGCATTTTTATCTGAAAGAGTTTGAAAATCACCCCTCTTTTGTAGCTGGCTGTCGTAGGGAAGACGTACATAGAAAAAGCGCGTGCTCTCTGACTCATAAGAAGCTACAAAAATCACAAAAGAAAAATAGAGATATTCAAGCCTCATTATTATTATTATTATTATTATTATTATTATTATTATTATTATTATTATTATTATTATTATTATTATTATTATTATTATTATTATTATTATTATTATTATTATTATTATTATATGTGATGATGATGACAACAATCTAAAGGTGTTTTTACCGGTTGGTTGGTTGTGAAACTTTACTGTTGTCCTGCAAGGAGCGCGTTAGCGCGCAGTGGTCAACTCTCACGTCGGGACCATTAGGCCAAGCCTATCTGCCGTAGCCGATAGGCTTAAAACACTTTGAGAGGGCCAAGACACTGAATAATTAAGCAGTGGGCGTAGAAAACAAATCTCAAATCTAAAAAAACACAGCGTAGCATGTAGTTTCTAACAGAGATGTCTGGCAGATAGTTATTTTTTCTAGCTGGTCAGCTGCATTTCTTGATTATGGTGCTGACGTGTCGGCCATTGGGCGGTCAAACCATGCTGTTTAAAGGGTTTTTTTTTTTTTTCTATGATAGAGCAAACAAATGAAACGCAAGAAAGGCACACGACGGCACCTGGCGCAGTGTGCCTTTCTTGTATCCCATATATTGTGTATTTTGTGTCTTTACCTTAGTAATAAGTAAATGTCATACAAACAAGCCCCATTGCCAACTTTAGTACTTAAAGAACTGCAACTGAGGATTTTCTGGATAATGCGAACAGAATATTCCATATGTTAAACTTCCCTTGAGCCTCGTCAGACTACAGGAATGTAAGTGCACTGCAAATATTGATTATAGGCTTTGCGGTATTGATTATAAAGAGTATGTAACGCAGCTAGACGCAGTGCATGAGCAGTACCTATTCTGAGCTTACGAATCAATTTCGTTGTAACTACGCTCACCGATTCGCAATGTTATTCGGGTGCTGAAGTTTGGCGACTGAAGCATCCTCAGTGACGACTAATCGATGGACGCATCTGACTGCGGCCTGTGCCGAGTAATCGCTTCCTTTTTGGCCGTAATCAAGCATTCCGGTGCGTGTCTTGAATATTTATGCGGGATCTTTTTCGGGAAGTCGGTGAGGATCGTGTTCGACTGGCCCATCAGCGATGCCTGTGGTCTGTCTGGAAGCGCACTGCTGACGCACTTTCGCGCATCAGGCAAAGAGCGCAAGTTGTAGCGAGTGAACTGGTGGTGGTGGTAGTGGTTAGAAGAGGAAAATGGCGCTTAATTTCTGCAGCCTTGCAGGAAGCACGGCGCAGCGCCTGGTGTTTTAACGTATGCATGCATGGGTGGATTTCGTCCAATGTACAACGTGCAAGAAAGAAAGGGTTAAAGAAGGGAGCGTGACAGGTAGCTTCTGAAAAAAAGAGTAAGAAAGAAAAGGTAAACTCCCCCCGATACATCCTTCGCAAGTTCACAAAGCAACTTTTCCTCATTATACCATGGCGTCTTACTGCCCGGCCCTCTTACCAACTGTAGGCTTCGCATGGCTGTCGTGCTTGCTTGGGGTCCCTGCGTGTGTGCGGTACTGCGGGGTGGCTGACGACCATGTTGGCTTGCTCAGAAAAGCAGAAGCCACGGCCTACGTATGTGCTTTCGGGGTATCCGGTCGCTTTTGATGAACGAGCCGCGAGCGAGGTTGGCTTTCTTCTCGCCGTTCCAGTGCTCATCGTACGTACGCTGTCTACGAGATATGCACGACCACCCTCCTGGAGACACCATTTTCCTTCAGAAAACACAAGCCCCGAAGAATACAGCAAACACGTGTTTCGAAGCGCCTTCTTATCTTTAGAACTGTGAGTGGGCATTGCCCCGTTGTTTTGGAATGCTTGCGGTTCCTCTTTAGAGTTCAAAGAGGGGAGACACGAACCACCCGTCCCCATCCTCGGCTGCGGGCAGCGCTTTCGGAGTGTAAGAAATCAGCGAGACCTTTTTTTTTTCTGGGTAGCCGAGTACTTCTTCAAGTGTGGCAGATGGGGCTAGCTGGTATGGCATGACGATAGTTATAGCACGAGAACAAAACGACAGCACAGAGACAAGAAGGACACGTGTTCTTCGTGTCCTTTGTCTCTGTATCGTCGTTTTGTTTTCGCGCTATAACTATTGTCACGCTTCTTCAAACTTGTGAGTTCTCTTTGAAGTCGCGCGCCCGGCATCTTTTGCGTTTTAGAACTCGCCCTAGCCCGGGTTTCATCCCTCCTGTTTCGGACTGCCCGTGTGTGTGGCAAGAGCAGAAGGGCCACTCGCGTTTACTTGACTGCTGCGCCAAATGACTATTTCTCCTCGTTTCGCTTCTCAATGGGCAGCCGAGAATGACCACTGCCTAAAGTGGGATGAGGGAGGGGGGGGGGGGGGCTCACCTCTTTTAACTTTTCTCACTTGGGGAGCTGGCGCGCCCTTTGCCCCCCCCCCCCCCCGGCAGATATGCGCCTATGTCATTATAAATTCATTATCATAAATACTCTATATTACAACGCCCCATCGCAATGTATACGCGTTTACCACGCATTATTACGGCGATATTTCATGTTGTATTGTAAAGCATTTACACAGGATGTGTGTGTTTTTAAAGCAAGAGAGTTAATTACTTTCCCTGCAATTCTAATTAGAGGAAGTTATTTTCTCTCTATTCACAAGATACTCTCGTACTAGAACTCGACTTTTAATTACTCCTTTTGTAAAAACAGACTTGAGCTTATTCGAGGAAAATGTTTTGAAGCTTCGGTGCCTCAGGCTTGGGAAACTGCCACAGGGATGCCTTTGATACCATGTGTAATTTCATTATAACTATTCAACAAGTACCATTTTGATCTGGTATTTCAAATTATTCGTCATTTTATCAATTTAAATCCTAAGTTTTCGAAATTGTCCCTATCAGGTTATTACAGGAGTCTGAAATACAAGCTCAAAATCAGGATACTTGTCAGGATTTCTTTATTTTTGGTTTTAAACTTCATAGCTTACCTAAAATATTTTTTAACATTCTCAACGTCACATTCTTGGCCAATCCCCCAAAGGGGGTATGCCATTTATATAGGGAAACAAACAAACAAGCACAAGCAGGCATTGTTGGGCATGCCAGGCATGCACGCGCTGTGTTGCTCTGTCGCGGCTGCATTTCATTGGACGCGCGGAGTTTCTCTTTAATTGGGCGATTGCGGTTTGTGACCTTATCAGGTAATGCGCTGGGCTCAGTTGAGTCGGTGGATGTGGCCACAGCCGCCATTGCCTATAGTCTAGACCACGGCTGAGATGACCCCTTCAAGCCCGCATGCTCAACAATGGCAACGTATAATAGTCTGCACGACGACTTGGGAAACTTTCTGTACAGCGCCGGCGCCCAGTGAAGCCATGCACATCTTCGATTCCAAGACCACGACGCGCCCGCTGAACCGGATGGGTATCGCTAGCACCTATGGGCACTTGCCCAGACAGAACTACGAATTTTCGCTACACGTGCACGGAGGGCAGAGACGAGGTGCCAGTGCCAGGAGGTGCACAGCCTTGAGCCCGATGAGTGGGCCACCCAAGCCCTGACCTATCATACGAAAAAGCCTCTGCTGGCTATCCATCCTGAGGTAAGCCGGACTTTGATTTGAGCGAGTTGTACAATGTTAGCTTGAAAAAAGAACGTCCCAAAAAGCACGAAAACACAGAGAAACAGTACACATTCAGCGCTGTCTACTGTTTCTGTGTCCTCGTACTTTTTTCGCTGTTTTTTTTTCTCGGCGAACAATGAGGTAAAGCGATCTGTGTTGGGCCCAGAATGCAGTATTGATTGTTATTCTTATTCTGATTGGTAGGCCATGACTGGCAAGTATCGTACTTGGGATAAAGCCCGGGTCGGCCGTGGCGCTGAGGTCACCCAAGTCCAGAGTGCTCCACTAGCACCAGGAGAAATCGACGTGGATGCCCTTGCTCGAAGGCTTATTGAGCTTGGGCCCCAAAAACAGGGGTTAAATAAATCCTGATTGTTTGTATCTTCAATTTTCGTTCTGAACATCTTGCTGTGCCTTTTCATCGGTTAGAACATTCCTGTTATACAATATGTTTCAATAGAAAAACTCAAGTGCGACTATTGCAGTTCATTCAGTTCGTCAGTTCAAGTGTGAGGACCTTGCGGGGTGATGCGCACCTATTTTTGTGAGTACTGCTGTCTTGAAAAATTACAGCAGGGTATTTACAGACTTCCTAATAAATCTGTGAATAACTTTAAAGGTCATTAA